TTCGTTGAATGAATTAACTGTAAATCCAGCTTTAGTTGACATCTGAAGGTACAAAATCCAAATGCCAATGGGTTATAAATACTCATTTAAATGCTTACTAAGCTCATAACTACAATAATATCCATTAGATTAAGTAAATAGCATGAATGCTCCAAAATTCAACATGTATTTAGCATCATATATTTACAAGTCAAAATGTCAAAACCAAAATATTCCCATACCTATCCTCCAACACCTATCTTCATGCAAATTTTCTTTCAGTGAACACCACCAAGTCAAACTAGAAATTACCTTACATTCCTTCCTCCTTCTCATCTTTCAGAATCATTCCATAGCCTTAATATTAGTAGAATCTGTTAATTCCTCTTCATTTTCACTGATACTCTATAAATTTAAACTTGCATTTCTTTCCAATCGGGTCAGTAAAAAATTAGATCAGTAAAATAGTCTGATTCCAGCCCTACACCCTCAAAATCATTATCTAACCTGCATCCAGAAAAGTATTTCTAAAAATGCTAATACAATGAAGTCTTTTTCTTTGTCAAATGCCATCAATTTCACAAAAAGTCAAAACGCTCAATGTTCAGCTCTATTTTTACTAGAATATCATATGCCCCCTATGATAAGAGGTATAAATCTCATCTTTACATGTCCTGTTTCTACTATAAGAAATAATCTCTGCCACTACCTAGCTAATCCCTACTCATCTTTAAGTCTCAGTTCAAGTTTTACCTATTCAGGCAAGGCCTTCCATGACCCTGTTTCTAGAGGCTTAAGTGAACTTTAAGTTCACTTCACATTTTCTACCTCTCCAAAAGGGAAGAGATATGGTCCTTTTCCAAACACAATGACTACAGAAGTCCTCCTCTGGGGAAGCATTTCAGAAACACCTATCTATTTTTATTTCAGATAATAAACAAGATAAACAAGAAGGTAGAGAGCACTCAGGTTCAACAACACTTAACATTTTACAACCACACTTGTTTCTTCTTGTTTCTCTTTCAGTTTCAGTTGTAGCACCCCATATACACCTCTGATCCCATTCCCTTTCTCCTATCTTCTCAGTAAGTAACCAATATCATCAACTTGGCTTTAAATAACCTTATGTATGTGTTTACACTTTATGCAAGTGGAACAATATATTATGTATCATTCTGTAGCTTGCTTTGTCCTTTAAAATGTATTTCTGAACTATATCCATAATAGTGCCAAGAGCTCTAGTTAAATCACTACAGAGAATTTTATGTGGTTTCAGTATACCACATTTTATTTATCAATTATCCCTTTCTTAAACATTTAGCTTTTATTTTTTGCTGTTACAAACAAAACAGCAATAAAAATTCTGCATTTGCCTCCTTTATACATACAAAAATTTCACGAGAGGTAACATCTAGGAATTAAATTGCTTTTCTTCAAAATATTCTCAGTTAAAAAAAAATTTTAAAAGGTGGCTTCCACAGTTTAGGAACTCCTTATATATTTACCAAATGAATGGAAAATGGATAGGTCATTCAACTTTTCTTAATACTGCCAAATTTTTCTCCAAAGGGATTATTTCCTATTTGTACTTGCAATGGCTGGCACTCTAGAGCCTTACCGATTCTTAGTATCTTCCATCCTTTTAATGTTACTCAGTGTGGTGAGTATGACACAGTATTTTACAGTGTTATAGCCAAAATTTTATTCTTTCATCCTTAGTACATTATTTGAATGGCCTCTTATTTCCTATTACATGTTCTAAATGATTATTACTGCTAAACGGAAGTCTGACTTATTTTAATGTAAATTCTCTCTCTAGAATTTTTGCACAACACCTTCATTATTTCTAATGGTCTACAAGGACCATTTATCCCAAAATTTCTACAAAGACAATTATATATTCCGTAAACATAAATAATTTTATATCTCCCTTACCTAGATAAGGAACTTTCCTCTTATTCCTAATTCACCAAGAGTTATTGTTCATCCCAAGTATCACCTAAATTTTATCAAATGCTTTTCTAAACATTTCACATCATCTCAGATAAGGCTCAGTTCCCCCTTCCATTTGGTATATTACAGTAAAAGATTTGCTAATACTAAACTATCCTTGCATTTGTAAGATAAAGCCTCTAGGTCTTAAAAATGTATTGACCTCAAAATGCTAATACTGTTATTTAATTTTCTACAAGTTTTCCTATTTTAATATCCATTTCTACTTTAATTATCTCTTTCTTCCTAAATGCTGTTAGGTTTGCTGTTTTTTCTAGTTTCTACTGCTTTTGCTAATATTATTACATTTAAGACAATATATTAATTCAAGTAATACTTTAGCTGGCCCCAATATTTTTACTAACAGTACTTTCACTAACATTCACTCTTCAAATCTGTTATTTCCTCTTTTATCACTTGAATTATTTAAAAGTACCTTTTTAGATTTGTAAGTATAATTTAGAAGGGGAATTTTTTTTATTTTCAATATTACTTGTACTGGAGTGAAATAACAGGATCAGGTATTCCTTGATGAAATATTTCAAGATTTCTTTTAATTCTCCAGGATTAAAAGGTTCTGGTTCTGCAATTTTACTATACTATTAAGAGCTATGTAATTAATTTCACTTACCTTGCTCACTTCTGAGAACAAACTCTGGATCTGAGGAAATATGTCAGAGAAATTTTTCCAAAATTATCTCTTTAAAAAACTTTGTCTTTTCTATTCTCTTTGGTTTCTTCCTCTGGGATATTCTGGAACCCTTCACATCTGCTCTTTCATACTTACTTCTTTATTTCTCTGGGCCATATTACAAATGAATATCTAATAAAGGCCGATTCCTGAATTCTCCATTTGATGGTATTCATTTCCTTCAGCAAAACTAATTTACTAAATTTATCCCCTTTTTGTGTTAGATACGATTTCTTCTTTCATCTCTCCAGTATCTTAAATATACTTATTTATTTCTTTTACTATTCATACCTCCCCATCTAAAGTTTTTGTGATCACCTCTGCTCACTGGGTCACTCTACTGCAGAAATAGAACATATAATGTGGGCTTAGAACTTCCTGCTCTAAGATAATATTGTGAATTTTTAAAGACCCAGTCATCAACTAAGTGAAGCATACTTTTCAATCCAGGTCCTGATTTTAAGAACTTTGTCGGTCTTCTCCCTTTCTTTAGCCCCTGATTTTCTGTAAATGAGGTTTTAGAGTAAGTTATTATCCAAATGTTTCTTTCACCATTAGCATCAACGCACTACTCCACCTCCCTCCCTTCCCACACAAATTCCAAGACTCCTGATCATATCAATCTGGTAACATACATAAAAAGCAGTCAAGACCAAACTCCCTCAAACAATGCAAATAGATACACAGGTAAAAAATAAAAAGTATACTACTGAAAAGTTCTAAAAATAAATGTTTCATATATTACCTAATTTAAAAAAACTTTTTTAATATTTATTTTTGAGAAAGAGTATGAGCTAGAGGGGGCAGAGAGTGAGGGAGGCACAGAATCTAAAGTAGGCTCCAGGCTCTGGGCTGTCAGCACAGAGCCTAACTAACAAAGGACTTGGCACTCACAAACCGTGAGATTATGACCTGAGCCAATGTCAGACATTCTACTCACTGAGCCACCCAGGAGCCCCATAAATCACCTAATAATAAAGAAATCAAAAATGAAGTATCAAAATTGAGCAAATAAAGAGTGAATAAAAAGATTTAACTTTTATCAATCAATGGTGATCAAAGAAATCCAAATTATTTTGGATTATAGTTTTCATCTATGTTATAAAAGAATTCCTAAATTTCAGTGTTGCTAGGCACACTTCTGGTGAAAGATACACTAGTAAAATTTTTTGAAGAGTAATATGATTGTATCACACAGCTGAGAAATACCCTTTCAACAAAACACTTTACCTCTAGTGTTTTAAAAGGAAAAAAAGAGGGGCGTCAGGGGGGCTCAGTCAGTTAAACATCTGACTTCGGCTCAGGTCATGATCTCTTGGTTTTTGAGTTTGAACCCCACATCAGGCTCTGTACTGACAGCTTAGAGTTTGGAGCCTGCTTCCGATTTGGTGTCTCCCTCTCTCTCTGCCCCTCCCCCACTTGCAATCGGTCTTTCAAAAATAAACAAACATTGAAAAAAATTCTTAAATAAATAAAAATTAAATGGGAAAAAGAAGGGTGCTTGGGTGGCTTGGTTGGCTAAGTGTCCAACTTCGGCTCAGGTCATGATCTCACAATTTGTGAGTTCCAACCCCATGTCGGGCTCTGTGCTCACAGCTCAGAGCCTGGAGCCTGCTTCAGATTCTGTGTTTCCCTCTCTTTCTGCCCCTCCCCTGGCTTGCGCGCTCGCTCGCTCTCTCTCAAAAATAAACATTAAAAAATTTTTTTAATAAATTAGTAAATAAATAAAATGGAAATATATCTGAAGAAGTAAACATGAAAAATAAAGAAATTCTATAACAGTAAAAAAAAGTGTAAAAATGCACTAAAAGAATAGTAAAATAAGGTTTATCCTTATAATGAATTAGTTAGAAGTCAATACATAAGTGCTCTTGCAGAATATTTAATATTTGCTATCTGAATGAGAGAGAAGAGAGAACAAGGTTATAAAAGATCACATACACACATAAAATAATCATGAAATATTAACTGTGGTTATCCATAATTCACTACATAGAAATTTTTTATACCCTTCCTTCTTGCAAATATTCTTTGAAACATACACATATGTTACTTATATGAAGTGAAATTCTAAAAAAATATATTAAGGCAATAAAAATTCTGTTAGGTAGCTATCATATGTAAGTCATTTTACTCAGTACACTGTAATCACAAAGTGCATCTTACCATTAAACAAAATGCCTTTCCTGACACAGTTTACAAAACAAGTAAAACAAAAAAAAACTTAAACTCCTTGAATACACAATTAGCAGGAATATATAAAATGTCACTTAACAGGTTCCACACAGATTACTGACTGCACTGCTTTGTAAATAAAACAAAAATACTTAAAATTTACCTGCATTGCACTTTTCCCCAATTTCACCACTTCAAATAGTGTAACAGGCTCCCCTTCACCATTCTGTTGAGGGTGCCCATTAGCTCTTCCACGGCCTGTTCCTCTAACAGTAGCTTCAATTCTACTCTTCTCTCCTGGAGATTTTCGAGGTTTCTTGTTTGTAGACTGAATAAAAAGATGAGAAAAAACTCAATTAAATACCAGTATACTCTATGCAGAATACCTCACTTATCCTGTGGAAGGTACTAAGAACTACTACAGATAAGACACTTAATTCTTGACCAAAGGGAGCTTTACAATTTGTTTTCTGTAATTAAAGTGCAAACAGCGAAGTTTAATTTATATAAGACATGAAAATTTATAAAAAGATTTAGTTTTATACAATACCACCATGCTGAATATTTTAATCATGCTCTCTTTTGACATCTCTCTCTTTATACCTTCCTCAATACTCTATTTCCTCAGAAACTTTATTCAATAATACACTGCTTACAAATACTGTATATTCAACTTCTCTCTCTGCAGAAGTCCTCAAATATTTCTTACCTAGTCTTGTAACAAATATATAGTAAACATACTCAAAACTATTTTAGGTACTAGAAATTCAACAATAAATTAAACATTCCTGCCTGATGGAATTTACATTTCAAGTAACTGATCACATCACATCCCAGTCCCCAGCCCCCAATTAAAAAAAAAAAAAAAAAAAAGTCAACACCAGCTACACTACCTTATCTATGTCTCACCTTTCAGCCAAGGGTAATATGACATTACTGCTCACAGTCACTATTATTATTCCCATAAATCTCATTCATATATAAACTCATCACAGTTGCGGCTTCACCTAACTTACCAATGAAAATAGTGTTTTAAATGTAATAGACATGTCTTGAAACTCTCTCAACAAGAGAGATGATTTCATCTTCTCCTTTCAGGTATCTTTTCCCTCCCTATATTTCTTACCTATTAGGGTTACCTTGGGTTGCTATTTAACATCTTTTCTTCTCAGTCTTTAAACTCATTTTTGAGGGATTTAATTCATTCTCACAATAGCTTGTTTCAGTTATCAACTTATCAATTCATCCTTCATCTCCAAATCTACCCTTATTTGTCCCACTTTGTATTCCTGTAGCTGAACCCTGTAAACATTTTTGTTATCTGCTGCAATGTTTGGCTTTGTGACTAGAGGGCAATGGAGGAACACTACAAAGTATGTCATGTATGGACTTCCCTCCCTACTTACAGTATCTGCTCCCTTCACTTTCTATTCTTATATTCTTCACAGTACTCTTTTAATTTTTCTTAGTTAACAGTCGTAGAGCCACTTTTGTGTTTAGATAGAACAGTTTTAGATTTACAAAAAACCTGTGAGGACAGTACAGAACATTTCCAAACACATCACATCCACTTACCCTTAATATTAACTCCTTACCATTTGTGTGGTATATCTGATATAGTAAATGAATATTGACAGATTAACAAAAGTCCACACTTAATTCAGATTTTCTACAACTTTTTCTGTTCCAGAACTCCATCCAGGATACCATATTACATTTATGTCAAGCTCCCCTTGGTTTTGACAGACTTTCCCTGGTTTTCTGGTGAATTTGACAGTTTTGAGGATTACTGGTCAGGTGTTTAAACAGTGTTCCTCAACTGGGTTTTGTCTGATGGTTTTTTCATCACTCCACTGGGATTAAGAGGAAGATGTAGGAGATAAAGTGTTATTTTTAATCACCTCATATCAAAGATATATACTACCATAATGATTTCTTACTGTAAATGTTGACCTTAATCATCTGACTGATGCAATGTTTGTTAGATTTCCCCACTGTAAAATTACCTTCCCTCCTCTTTCCACTGTACCTTTGGAAGAAAGACAGTATGTATATCCCACATTTAAGGGTGGGGAGTTATGCTCCACCTCCTTTAGGGAGGGAGTATTTACACAAATTATTTAAGAATTTTCAGTATGGAATTTTTGTCTGTTCTCACTCATTTACTCAATTATTTAAACTAATGAACTCATCAAAATTTATTTTATACTTTGGGGTATACTTCAACACTTTTATTCTGTTGTTCAACCTGTTTCAGCTCTGGCCATTGGGAAATCTTTCATGGCTCCTGCATTTCACATATTTTCACTTGTGTGTATATGTGTGTGTCTTACAGGTTACTTTCTGGCAGCACAATATTCTGCAGGCTCATGTTGTATATCCCCTCCCTCAATTTTAGAACCAGTCAATATCCCAAGGAGCTCTGGTTCTTTTTACTGGAGAATGATATCAGAGATGAAGATCTGGGCTAGGTTCTGCTCCTTGATTGTCTTTCTTCTAGGCTCTTAAGCAAACAAAGAAATGCACGTTGCATAGACATACCCATAACTATAAATATCTCTGTATGTAATGTATGTTATCTATGGTAAGCTAAATACAAATTTATACTGGTACCTCCATCTCTAATGCATTACCATATGTATGCAGCTTATGCCTTACTAATCAATATGGTCCAACCTGAAAGGTGAGAAACCTAGTGCCCACCTAGTAGTAGAACTGTTAAATCATACCCCAGCAGAAACAACTTTATTAACAAGATTACACTGTTTATCTATACAATGTAGTTTCTTTGATTTTAATCTTACAGATTCATTTCAATAATCACTTAGGTCGGCAACTTCCTGCCCAACTCCCCATAGTGACGCTGTTTCAGTAACTTCAAATAGCACTGGATTGTTTTGTCATAGTCTACATTCCATCCTGGTATCCAATTAACCTCCTATATGACTTTTTAAAATCTATACTCATAAATTTCACTTTTTCTGTAAAGTTCAAGGAGTTTTAACAAATGCATGTAGTGTCATGTATGTATAATATAGTATCACAGAGAAGAACTTTCACCTTTAAAAAAATCCCTGTACTTCTCCCATTCAATCTTCACATTTATCTTTGGAAAACATTGACTTCTCTTACCCTAACTATAGTTTTGGCTTTTACAGAAAGTCATATAATTAAATCAAGTATTATGTAGCCTCTTCAGACTGGTATCTTTCCCTTAAAAATATGCATTTAAGATTTACCCATGGTTTTAGTGGCTAAAAAGCTAACTTTTATTCCTAAATAATATTCCACTGTATGAATGTATCACATTCTGTCATCCATTTACCAAATTATGGACATCCTGGTCACCATTTCTTGACAATTAGGAATAAAGCTGCTATATGCATTCACATGCAGGATTTTGTGCAGACATAATTTTCAAATGAGTTATGTAAGCATCTAGAAGCATTATTATCGAATCATATGATAAAACTATGTTTAGCTTTGTTAAAAAATGCCAAACAGGGACACCTGGGTGGCTCAGTCAGTTAAGCGTCCGACTTCTGCTCAGTCCGACTTCTCACAGTTTGTGGGCTCGAGCTCCATGTCGGGCTCTGCGCTGACAGGTAGCTCAGACCCTGGAGCCTGCTTCAGATTGTGTGTCTCATTCTCTCTCTGCCCCTCCCCAACATGTGCTCGGTCTCTCAAAATTAAATGTAAAAAAAATTTTTTTTTTTTCTTTTTAAAAATGCCAGTCTTCCAAAGTAGCTGTATCATTTTGCATTGCAATTAAGACAGTTCTTGATGCTTTGTAACCTTGACAGCTGTGTACCTTTGTCAGAATTTTGGATTTCAGCCATTATAATAGGTATATAGCTGTTCTCTCATTGTTGTCTTAATCTGCAATTCTGGAATGACAAATGATTAAGGACTTTTTAATAGTTAATAATTCTTGAAATTAAGTTTTTCATTTCCAATTACTGGAATGGATATTATCCCCTAACTACACTCTAACTGATTTTGTATACTTGTACTATCTAACATGGTAGCCACTACTCTCATGTAGCAAATGGAACACTTGTAATTTAACTAGTCAAAAACAAAATGTTTAGTAGGTATAAATATCCTACAAGATTGTGGATTCATAATGAAAAATTGCATAAAAATGTCTCATTTATAATGCTATACTGATTACATGATGAAATAACATATCAGGTTTATTAAAATTAATTGCATTACCCATTTTTTTTGGTAATTCACTAAAAATATTAAGTTGCAGATATGGCTCAGACTATTTCTGCTGAATAATTCCACATTAATATTATAACACATTAATTCTTATAATACCAACCTAATCCCATCACTTCCCTGTTTATTTAATCTCTAATCTTTAGTCACCCTCAAAACCACCAATCAATTAAAAATCCAGACTCCTCAGTATGGCAAATAAAGTTATAATCTACTACCTGTTCAGTCATCTACCACACCAGCTCCCTCTTTACAGGAATGATAAATTTAAAGTTTCTTAAATCCATCATTATTGCATTCATTCATTCTTTTTACCTTGTCTATTTTTAGCTAGCTCCTCCTAATAAGTCATTTCTGTGTTTACTCTTTAGAGTAATATGATCTTCCCAGTACTGTGTATGCACACAAGTATGTGTGTGTGTACTTATGTATGCACATTTGTGTGTCTGATGAGAGGAAGGGGGAAATGTTACTTTTCCTTATTAAATAAGTAATACATTCACGGAGCCCAAAAGTTAAAAGGTGATTAAACTTTTACAGTGAAAACATGTTCGTCCCTGCCCTCAAGCCACCATCTACCTTCCTAAGAAACAGAAACAATACTATTCATTTCTTATATGTCATACAAACAAACAGCATATGAAACTAAAGAAGAAATAAATAAATGGAAACCCATTCTATGGTCAGGTATTGGAAGAGTTAATATTGTTAAGATGTCAATACTCCTTAAAGCAACATACAGATTTAATGCAATCTCTATCAAAATCTTAATGACCGTTTTTGCAGAAACAGAAAAAACCATTCTATAATTCAAAGGAAATCCCAAATGACCAATCCTGGGAAAAGGAAAAAAAAAAAAAATCCCAACACTGGAAGATACATACTTCTGATTTCAAAATTTATTACAAAGATACACTATCAAAACAGTACGGTGCTGGCATAAAGGCAAACATACAAACCAGTGGAATATAAAAGCCCATATATGTGAAACAAACCCTCACATATATGATATTGACAAGGGTGCCAAAACCATTCAACAGGTAAAGAACAGAAGGCAACCCCCAGAAAGGGAGAAAATATTTGCAAATCATGTATCTGATA